TGGAGACGGAAAGGAGAAGAGTGGAGAGCCTCAGTGCCGATAATTGGTGAGTTCTGCACCAAAAATAAGAACAAGACGCGGCGCGCGCAGAATGGAAACGATTTAAACCTAGTCTAGTTGGAGGTTATCAAGGCACGCACGAGCCACGTTAAAAAGGGGCAAGGAGGCCAGCATTCAAGCATGCTGGCACGTCAGCACTCAGCTGCTTCAAGTTGTGCCCCTGAACAGCATTGACCATCTATTTATAGATCAACATCACTACCAACGCTCGTTCATTCTCTCCTTCGTTGGCTTCGTCGTCCATTCCCCTTAGGTCTTGTGAATAGAAAAAGAATTTGACCTACCTTCAAGCTTATCATTGCCACTTATAGGTCCCTCGTACCGGTGTCCGAGAGTCTCTGCATTGAGTGCATGCGTGCTACGGCGCACTTTCAACCTTAACTGGACTTCTGTGGAATAACCTTAAAAACCCGCGTGTCTCTTCAATATTGTAATGACCATTCCACGAATCACTAATGAGGGAGTACAGGTCCTCCCCCCCCCTGTCCTAACCGTTCAAGGATACCGATAGGGGCAGAAGTTCCTTTACTATAGCTGACATCTGCTGCCTTTACCCGCAGACTTCTTGTTATCGGGTACTAGCTAAGTCAATCGTATCGTAGAAGCATTTCATACCAGGTACTTTGGCTAGGCTAGCCGAGTCGCAACCCTTGACGGAATAGACAATCATTTTTGGAAATCATCGAAGGTAGGTTTAGCAACCCGCCCGAGCATGGGCAGCGCGATTGAAGATGATTTCACGGATAACAAATATATCTAGCTTAGTCCCGAGGTGAGACGCGAGTGGTGGGTGGGGATAATGCACCAGAAACCCATGCAAACGGCGGAAAAGTCAAGCTCCCACCAGCCAGAACACCTAGGGTGATGGATTGATAGAATGAAGTCCATCCATTCATCTCATATCTTCGCTTCGGGATCATGTCTCCAACCTGGCAGATCCGCCAGATCCTTCGCCGGTGCCGCGCGCCTCGACTTCAGGGGATCGCCACCGGGTCTCCATCTCCAAGCTTGAGCTAGGTCATCCGCGAGGTTGCCTTCCAGCAGTTCGACGACGTGCTTTCCGATGTTGGGCAGGAGCTTGAAGGAGTGCCTTTTATGGCCGGATACCCGTCAGCAAACGATTGGTTCGTAATTTACCGTCTCTGTTCCTCTCTCTCAAGAGGGGCAAGGGTATGGGAAAATAGAACTTACCCGCTATCGCCCGTGGCTAGGATGAAGTTTTTCCACTTCGGGTGCTCGCAGATCAGCAGTGCCGCATCCGCGGTGTCGGTACACCAGCATAGGGCGCGGTCGAAGAGCTCCTTCTCCTGGAAGCGCGGCAGGAACGTCGAGATGGCCTTGCGAATCGTGACTTCGGACGCATCCGGGTAGGTATCCGTCGGGTGTTTGGCGTGGGACCGCGGGACTGAGACACGCTTGGGCGAGGGGGCGCCGTAGGGCTGGTGTTGCTTAAACCGCGTGAAGCCGGGGAATTCGTCGCAGACCTTGATGATGCCGTTTCTGGAGACTGGTTAGTATGCGCGCCTGGGTGTTCGTGTTGAAGTGTGTGCGCAACTGGTCCACGTACTCGTTGGGCTCAAAGAAAAACCCGATGGCGCCATTGTATACCACTGGAACATTCTTATATTCGGCGGCTTCCTGTGGATTGAGCTGTATCATTGCGTATACCCAAGCCTAAAGTGAATAGTCAGTGGCGCAACGTCCATGGTACAGGAATTACCAATTCTTACCTTCGAGCAGCATTGATCATCCAAGTCAACTAGAGCTGGACTCCAAGCACCTGCTGCCAGGACGACCTTGTCGGCGTGGTACTTGGTTCCGTCTACCGTCTCAACACCGATACATGTGTATCCATCAGCGGCAAATAGGGGATGTTTGAAGGATCCCGAGCTGAGCGGCAACCGAGTCAGCGCTGCTACATGAGATGGTTTTGGCTCGGGCAAGTAACACTGCTACTTACCCGCCGAATCCGAACTTCACCCCCTTCTCCTTCAATACTTCACCTATTGCGTTGATCGCCTTTGCAGCAGCCAACCAGCCTCCGTCTTGGTTAAATATTGCCTTCCATCCCTATGACCATCCAGAATTAGCAGGTCCCGCCTGACAGGGCGCATGTAGGCTCACCTTTATTTGATCCCGACTCAAAAGGGGCATTTTTGCCAGGATTTCATCTTCGCTTTCCAGCCATTCGGTGGTCTTCTCTAGGCCAGCATCGGCATCCAGGAGCGATTGGTACTGTTTTCGCAGCGATGCAATACCCTTCTCGGACCCCTCGCAATCCAGCTACAACGCGTCAGTACAACGCATCAGTACCAAAATTGTGGAATCGCTTACTCTACCGGTATTGTGGAAGAACGGCTGGAATAGGGGGTCTTCTTTCCACATATGCCGTGCTTCCAAGCTCAGCTGTAAATCGACTTTATTTCGCAAACGTATTCCCATGATCTTGTTGAGGTCATTGCCAGCTGACTGTGCCGATGGGATAGCATAGGTGTCGAGCACGGTGATATTGGACGGCGTATAGCCAGATCGTATGAGATGTAGTGCGGTTGAAGAGCCAATGGTACCTCCCCCACCGATCACGATCACTTTCGTGGTCTCGCGACCTTCAGACATGATGTCGTTGGTTTGTCGTTTTTCACGCCTAGCAAATGGTTATTCCTCTTCGATGATTGACCTCTATGATTGACCTCTGTGGTGCCGCTGAAGACAATTCTGTAGAAATGACAATTGGATTAGAGACGGAACTCTGCCCAAGAACTTGGGACCGATCAACGTAAAAGCGAAGTCGCAATGAGCAACGTTCGAGGATCAAATGGCATGATCTCGACACGTTCCGAGATCACCAACTGTGAGTATGGAGCCATGACAGGCGCATCTTACAAATGATTCACATCGATAGACCCTTGAGTTTCCGGGCGCGAGGTGGGGGAGAGTGGGACATCGTAAACGTTTCCGGCCGTAGTCCCGTCTTATTAGCTCGCACGTCGGGTCTAACAATACCCTAGCCAAGGCGTTATCAATGATGGATATGAGCAATGAGGCTCTTCCAGCTGCCCGGTCCTGAAAACTGTTATCGTTACTCAAAAGGGCTAGCTTATGATTTATCCAAAGGCAAGACTCCGACTCGCCAGAGTCCAGACTGGCTGCCATGAAGTCTCAACAAGAGAAGGGTGCGCAACACCGGGCGCAGGGGCCAAAGCTATTGGGTAAAGTATCTCTCTCAGTACAAGCGACGGCACAGGCAGAATCGCCTTGGACGAAAAAAGTGTCTGTACGATTCAGCGAGTCAACGTGACAGCGGACGGTTTCGAAAGTCTGAAAGGGGTGAATGAACAAGGCTCTCTTGAGATTGCACCGCAGGCAGCAGAATAGCAACATTCATGTTATCACTTCCATGCTTTACGCCGGAAGCGTCGGAAAGGTTGATAGTGGGAGGCATTAGGCACCGCGTAGATATACACCTCACTGCTCCAGGATGTGACTGCTTTGCCGAGTATTTCAAGCCCAACCCGGCTGTGGGTATTGTTCCTACTTAACAAATGTCTGTAATAATCGCTACATCATTTGCTGAACGGTATGTAAGTCGAGGAGTCGAGAGAAATCGGAGTCTTCGGTTACGTATATCAGAATAGCAAAGCTCCTCTGGAAACCTGAGCCCCAATGCCCTCATATAGTTTTCATCCGGACCTTCTCAATTAAGACTATAGAATTACAGAGTCACCAGATAAAGTATGCCCTTCTGATTACGAGACAGGCATTAGTCGATGTCAATGTAAGACAAGCTGCTAATATTGAACAGTAAAAAACGAGTTGGGACTATAGATACGCCATAAGATGGCTTTATTATCAATATCAGCTGAAAATACCTCCGTGTCTCAAGAATAAACTTATTCGGATTTTTGACCTCAAGAGCTATGTTCTTGATGGCGGAAACAAGATCGTTAAACTTCTACATGCAAGTTGAAACGACTGCTGCTGAGCCGCACATGTGAACATTCCTCAATATAATGCACACACTATCAGATCTTGCCACCTTTGTATGATTATAACACACAAACTGTTCTTACAAGATATCAAGATCAAAGCCATCACCCGGGAGATGGACTATAAAGGGGTTCATAAGGAGGAGGAGGAGGAGGGCAAGAAGTGGGTTGTTGGAATACTTAAAAGTGCTCTAGGAAGCGAGTTTGAAGCACTTCTTATATATGAGTATTACTAGAAGCCCTGGGTTTGCCATCCTCCCGCTCGGAGTTCATGCAAGCCTGATAAGCTTTTCCTATCCTCTCTTGGAATCTAAGCTAGGCTAAGTCGTTAACATACAGAGATAGACAATGGAATTGCGTGGCCTTTTTGACATCTCGATAGCATCCGCTTGCCTCAGGTGTAGCAGAGCTCAATATGATACTTAGCCACGCGAGTTTGCAATCATACAAAATCCAATTTCCCAAGTGAATATTTATCGTCCTACTGATGATAGTCCTACTGACACCCATGATTGTGAAAGCCCACAAAGCTACATACAGCACACCTCCACAGCAGTTTCCACGGTTCAGATTGCTGCTGGCGGTTCCAGTTAAGATTTGTACTGTTTTGCTACGGGAGGAGAGGAAGCGTCAGAATTTAGCCAAATGGCAGTTATACATAGGCGTGTTTACTGCTGTTGAGGATTGTGCGGAGGCCTCGCCCCTTATGGCTCTATCTCGCCCTGTTGGATCATTGTTATCCTTGTGTAATGCAGATTACAGAAGATTGCAGAAGGCAACCATTTATGGAAACGAAGTATTCGTCAACGGGCATCTCTTGACGACAAAGCACCGACTTCTTCACTGACTCCAGACCCTTTTCCGAGTCTTTCAAGGTGAAAGCAGACCAGGGAAACAAAAATCTGTAAAGTGGAGACGCACGAGACGGACAAAAGAAGGGAAAAAAAAGAAAGATGCGGTGAGTGCGGATCGAACGCACGACCTTTAGATATAATTTCATACGCTGAAGAAGAATGGCTTCACGATGTACTTATTGATGAAGTTTGGCTTCAGTCTAACGCTCTCCCAACTGAGCTATCCCCGCTGCTCTTTAATGGCAATTTCTACGCCGTCACGTGAGCGTATGTTGTTTATCAAATATTATATCGTGTGTTGTGGAGATGACTGATAGGCAGAAGCGACGAGCCAATCGGTTTTGATCGGGTGGGACGCAGCAAACGCCGGATGGCCCCAAAGCAAAAAGTCCAGATCGTGCCACATTTGTTATTACTGAGCAGCTAGAATATGAATATTGCATTAGTAATGAGAACCACTGGCTCCAAGCAATGGATTCTCTCCGGCCCGTTTCCCCCAGACTGCTATCTTCACCCGGAAAGGTTTAGCGATCATGTGTTCGGTCCGGTACCCGCCAGACCCCGAAGTCATGTTTATGGGGCGAATAAGTGGTACATCGGCGCACACCTGTCGCCTGTGTTCGAACAAATAATAACAAGGGGCTGGGAGCGATAGTCGCGTCACACGTTGATTTCTCTGATTTTGGTCCACTTTGATTACTTCACGGGTTAATCTGTACTGCGCAGGGCTGTTGGGCCAGACCGGGGACTAGGTGGTAATGGCCCCCAAGAATCTACCAATAGTTCACGACTCTCGTCGTCCGTATCTGGCACCTTGACCCCAATCGTCATCACACGCATGGATGATGACGAGCTCGCGCGTGCGCTTTCGAGATTGCAGGCAATACGTGCCACTCTCCACTGATAAGGGGATCACATCACCGCGAGGGTCCACGTGTCGCCCGAGCGACCTCATGTCTCAGGGGTCGAGATATCACAATATCAGATTTACAATAACCTAGAGACTACAAAACGGGTTGCAAGTACCGCCATCTTGGGTCTCGATGACTTCCTTTTCTGCCCCATCGAACCCCGGTGCCGGAATTTCCTTGCCCGTTGTCAGTCGCCATGTCCAACTTCGACGCCGCTCCTCCTAACACCTATGCTGGTGGGAAGGACGATGCCTTGCGGCCAAACAACACGCTGCCCCTGAACCCCCCTCCGCCCGGTCAGAACGATGAGAGGGTCGACATGGAAGCGTACCAGCGGTCCGTTCCGCTCTGGAAGAGGATTCATCAGCACAGCTTGACGCAGATGATGATCCTCAGTGTGCAGGCGTTCTGTGGTCCCGCTATGGGGGATGCCATCGCTGGTGAGTGAAACTCAAGGTTCGGAGTGTTACAGCGAGGACCGCATAATTGACCACCCGCCAGGTCTCGGAGGAGGTGGTCTCGCTACACCACAGACTTCAAAGTGAGTGACATGCGAACCCTGGGCTCTTTTTGGGAATATAGGCACTGACGAGTTGAACTTTACAGTATCGCGTTCGTTGACCCTCAATTCTATACTTACTTGATAATAACTTACTCAAAAATAGCTCGGCGATCAATTATGCCATGCTTGCAACTGGTGAGAGAACAGCTGTCCCAAGTCCCCAAGTTGCCTCCAGAGTGCTGACCGCCATCACCAGTCTGCTTAATGGGTGGTCCTATCGTCAACCGGCTCGGAACGAAGTGGAGTTTGGTCATTGGTGCTGCCTCATTCCCCATCCGAGGATCCTCCTATTATTGCAACAGCAAATTCGGAAACCAGTGGTAGGTGTCTGTCAGCGGTTTGTGAGGAGCACAACTGATTTTCATGCAATAGGTACTTGATCCTAGGAGGCTTCTTCACCGGTATTGGGACTGGATGCTGGTACGTCGCCGAAAGTGGGACCATCATGTCCCTTGCGCCGTCTGGTTCGCGCGGGAAATACCTAGCACTTTGGATTGTCGCCCGGAATCTCGGTCAGCTCGTTGGAGGTGCAATTAAGTGAGTTCCCATTATCCCCAGAACCTTCGTATCATGCTCGAGAAATTCCAATCTGACTTTTTCCTTCCTAGTCTCTCCAAGAATCATATCAAGGGTGTTACTGGAGGAGTTACCCCGGACACCTATGTCGCGTTCCTCATCATCGAATGCTTGGCCCTACCATTTGCCTTTCTCATCACGCCTCTCCACCACGTGGTGAGATCTGACGGAACGCGTATCCTCGTGACCGAAAAATTGCCAACGAAGAAAGAATTCAGTCTCATCAAGGTCACGATGACGTCGAAACTCATCTTGCTCTCTGCGCTCTGGGCGCTCTGGTCATTTTTCTACAGGTAAGCCTCTGGCAGTATCCGAAGAGCTGCGAGTATACGAGAGCTAACGTTGGAGGAAAGTGGCACTTGGTCTACCTACCTGGCCACGTATTTCTCTGTCCGCGCACGTGCGCTATCCTCTCTCATATCGCCCTTCTTCTGCATGTGAGTTTCCTCCATCCTCTGGGCTTTCACTCTCGACTGAAACGCTCTCAGTGTTGGGTGCTTTGGCCTCGGTTTTATCCTCGATATCAAGACTCTCTCGCAGAGACGCAGGGCTCAGCTGGGGCTTTTCACGGTGGTGATCCTCAATCTGGGTGTCTACATATGGTCTATTGTTATGCAGGTGAGGTTCGACGCGAACAGCCCTGGTAAGATAGACTGGGACGACTCGCTCTATGCAACCTCCTTCCTGCCCTACTTCTTCGTTCAGACCACCGGCCCGTTGTCCCAGTCCTACATGTATTGGCTCCTCTCCTCGTTTGCAACCGATGCTCAAGGTAGGTTCCCTGTGCCGTTCAAATTGGGATAGAAGAGATACTCACAGTCATTTCAGCAAATGTTCGAAACGGAGCAGCATTCCGGCAAGTCACTTCAAGTCTTGACGATGGAATTAAGCAGCTGACGAGTTTTTTTAGTTGTCTCGAAGCTATCGGCCAGGCGATCTCATACGGCATGAACACTCAGATAAAGACGAGTCCGTTGATAGGATTGTATGCAACCACTACACGTCCCCTGCCGCGTGCAAGCTCAAAGAATGTTGCTAATGACCTAATAGCTGCGTGACATTTGGTCTCATGGCAGCTTGTGTCGGCCCAATGATCGTCCTGGTCAACTCAACACCCGATCAGATCCCAGCGGATGTTATCCAAGGTCAGCTACAGGAAAAGGAAGGAAAGTTGGAAGAACCCGAGCCTTCGAAAGTATAATATTTAAAGGAGTGCGAGAAGACTTCAGCGCCCAAATCTTAACATGTGTTGGCAGTTGGTAATTGTGTGGCACCAGGCATGTACGTAGTTGACTAGGTGACCCACCTTGGGGAATAAGAAAGAGCCCCGCACCCAAATTTGGTGTGTTATTTTTTTGCCCCTATTATAGCTAGCCAGTCCTCCCAACCTAATATATCATCCGTGCTAATGAGTAACGACCTCGGGATATTGCTAATAACATGTGGCAAATTTTTGGATTTAGCCACGAGAAGATCTGGCTAATAGAATAAAACGTGGCATAGATAAAAGCAACCATAGCATTTTGTGCCTGTGCCACAAGTAGTGATCAACAGATCCCATTGTTATGAATTTGAGGGCCGAAGTCTTCTCGCACTTGATCAGATAAAAGGAAAGATTACGATGAATTTGATCAAAAACAGTCTCTTATAGGGATTATAACTGTACTAGGATTATCGTTACCTTGAGTCTATTTTAAAGGGTGTTTTCCCATATAGCAAGCAATACGATAAAGCTTCCAAGTTGAAGCCACCCTTTTTTTCATGTCACTATTTTAAATTCCAGGATTCTATATCCAAACGACAAATCGGGCATCAAATACAGCCACGATGGTCCCAAAGCTTCCCACCGACTCATTACCGTCCCTTTCAAGAGGATCTGGAGCTGTGCGCCGAAACTTGAGGGGGGAAACACTCTAGGGCTCAATCTATTTATCAGCAAGCACAGCGGACGCCTGGTGTTTTTCACAGTATTGCAGCCTCCTCCAAAGAGGAAGCCGACTACACCTAGACCGGGATCCTTTAAGGAGGAGAAATTTAACCGGGGGCATCATTGTTATAGAAGGAACCTTGGTAGCTGCTGAAGTGCTTAGATCATCGTAATGTCTGTTTAATAGGGTCGAACGGAGAGCTGGGAATGTTACACGACTATCTATAAGGTCGACTGCCAAACCAATGCTCTCGCATGAGATCCTTTATACAAGTCATTCGTCTCAATCGAAGAACCGGCCGAAGCATGATATTGGTAAGGCAGAAATAGTTCTGCATTGCTCCCAGGTGCTGAGGCTTGGGCCCTGCCGTCTGCCTCAGCCGATGACCTTGCCCTTTGTCCGTTTATGGTTCTTTCAACGCTGCCTTACGGGTGTTGCAGCTTCTTATGTACTTCGCGAAGAAGCGTCAGAGGGAGAAAAGACAGGTGTCTGACTAGAGGCATTCTGCCCTTTCTTTCCTCCTACGAATTGAGCCCATAAAACTGTCACCATCACCGGCGGCTAGTCCACCCAACCAAACGGAAGAGACTAATGTGGCAAATTGGGCGATTAATACGTTCACATCGTGGAAATAGCAAATATACAACAAATCTCATGTGAGTCTGATACTGAATTGGAACAGGAAAAGAATCTTTGCAAGAAACAGAGATACCCCAAACGAATCCTTTTCCAGGTAATAGCAACCGCTGCCCATGAAGCGTGGTAGAAACACCCTACGTTGTGTACCATCTGTACTCTGTACTACGGTAGATAGAGGAGCAACCAGATTTCCCTGACTTGTAGTCCAAACGACTGGTCTTTGTGTCTTTGCCTGCGAAGTCCCCCCAATGTCTCGTCTAACCCAACACCCCTCTCACGCTATTCTTCCGTGCTTCCGGCTTGATCCTCTTCACCGCCCGTCTCGGCGGGGGGAACTTTCTCGGAGTTCCCTTCCGTCGTCGCGCGAGCGCCACGTCCCATCCCGGGTGTTGCTTTTCCATTTCCTCGCGGTAGAGCTTCCGAGCGCGTGGGTTTCCGATCTCCCATTTGTCGATGAGACGCAGGACCATGAGGAATGCCGAAGAAGTGTCGATCTGCAGTCTTTGCGCCCAGTCGCCAAGCCAGCCGATCAGCATCTTGCGGAGGAGCTCGTCTTGCTGACCGCCGCACGCGCAGGTCGCGACGTGTTGGATACGTGGAAGCGCGGGAAGGCC